AAATCAACCCTCTTTTTGAGAATTAAAACTCGAGAGTCAGATCGTGTATCGTCTGGAACTCGAACCACTCGTCCTTTCTCCCTCGGCAGTCGGCAACCAGCCAGTCCGACCTCCGCACGGGACCGATCCCGGGTCTCGCCCCAGCCCGGACAGACCGGACTATTAACCGGGAAGAACCCCACCATGGTCCACCCTCCGCCCCCACCCGGATCGCGTTGACGGACAGAAAGAAGGAAGGAGAGCAGCAACATTTCAGCTCTGAGAAGCTCCTGTTTCCCTGGTAGAAGGCTTGCGGCTTTGGTGGAAGAATCATCTTTACCCCCGCCTGATGACAGCCCTACCCTTCTTTTTATTCCTCCCACCCTTGACCCTTTCAGCATTCCCGGTCCCACTTTTTTAAAATTTTCCCTCTTTCCTTATCTCCCGATCGACCGTCATACCGATTTGGCCGTTTTGTCAGAAAGAACCCTTCCATTTTGGTGCGCTGATACAAAAAACACGTTCAAATATTTCCCATACTCATTAAGCTCGAAATAAAGCCTATTTCCAGACTGTTGTTTATGAACAATATTAGACACAACATAACTTTGTTTCTGGCATGTTTCGGAAATGTTTTGCGAAACTATAAAATAGTTATGTTCATGCTTCACGTTAAAATGAAAAACATTGGTTACATTGAACAAGTCTGAGTATATTTTTTTCAGCGTTCTCGAATTAGTTTGAGGTCAGTGATTTCCACGTGAATTCGGAAAATACTTGAAAACTAATCCATAATGCAGTGATTCAATTGAAAATAAAAATAGGGACTGCTTGGCAAAATGTGACAAAATTTGCTGTAACATAGTCATAAGAATTGCTTATATTATTAGAAAGTGCGTCTCTGAGTGAGTAGAGTTTTGAAATCAGCGTCATCATAAGTGCAAAGTATTTTAGTATACTGCAAAGTATAAAGTATTTTGCTTGTCTAAAGCCGCAATTTGTTATGCGGCGCAAATACGGGATTACAAAGAATATGATGAAGTCGAAGCACTGCAAAAACATTTAAACTGGCAGTCCAATATTTTGTACAACAGAGATAAATTTAAATTACCTAAGGAAGCCATGCAAAATTTATTACATTAATCAACCCGAATAAAAAACATAATAAAGATTGTCAATGGCAAAATATATACATGGTGTGTGTGGTGATTAGTGACCGTTAATCGATAATTATTGAGAAATCGTGAGATGCATTCTGGTGTGATGTAGGTTTCAGAAAAATATTTTCTTTATGGTTTCAATATTTCGACATTTATTGAGATCATCTTCAGGGCTCAAAGTGTTTGTCTTCTATGTAATTGTGCCATTCTTGCGTGTCGTGTTGAGAATGCCCACTCACGACACGCAAGAATGGCTCAATTACACAGAAGACAAACACTTTGAGCCCTGAAGATGATCTCAATAAAGGTCGAAACGTTCGCACGATAAAGAAAATGTTTTTCTGAAACCTACATCATACCAGACCGCATCTCACGATTTCTGAATAATTATACAGGGTGTGTTAAGCTTCTTTCCCCCTATTTTTTTAAATTATTTTTTGTTTATTGGGGCGTTTTTGGGAAAAATGCCTAGACACGTAAGTTTTTATTCTTTGTTTAGTCAATATTTTGTAAAAAAAAAAAAGTAGAGCTGCTTATAAATTACATAAGGAACTCAGGTTTGATAAAGGCTCATTGTCCCATCTGGTACTAACAACTTCATATTATTATTATTATTATTATTAACTGATGGGAAAACTGAAAATAAGTTCAGTAAATAAAGTCAAAGAATAAATTTCCAGAAATATCAATGGACATGATTATCACGCGGACTGAAGCCTGGAACAACTGGGGATGCTGTTCCGAGTTGAACTATGTTCAATATTGCTCAGCAATATTATTTACAATCTGTTTTAGGCTTAAATAAACAAATGTAGTTGGAATGAAACGTTGCTCAATGTTTATTCTCGACTTTCACCCTGAAGGGTGCTCACTCCCCGACGTGCTGACCCTAGGATCGGTACCTCAGATAGTTCACCTACCACATTATGTGGCTGGGTCGCTAGTATCTCCCTTAAGCCAGATGTCCAGGAAATAGTCACTTCCCAGCTAGGTTAGATACAAACAGAGGCTTTCGACAGGTAGGCCATTTAAGCCCCCAACGCATGCAAACTATAATCTAACCTAAAACTAAATTCCATAATAAAATCGCACAAATAAATACATTCACACCTAAGTTCATTGCACTCATTCTGATTAATCAATGGAGTACCTACTCGATATTTTTCCATCGACCTACACACACTATTAATCTAATGGAAATTAGGGTCGATGGGGTACTTTTATAAATATTCTGCCACCGACCTTAGGCACACTCTGCTGGCGGTAACGTTAAATTTCAACATCAGACTTTCACACCAATACGCACTTAAACAAAACATAAGCAAATCTATATACAAAGAAAAAACCCACGTCCTCCAAAAGCGGATACAGAAATTTGCCTCTGAGCAAGAGAATCCTTCTAAAATCTGGCGGCATGTAAGGCGCCAAGACATGACAAGGTCCTCTTATGTGGGACACACAGAGTAACCTTTCTCTGCATAAGGACCACCTGCGCGGGCTTTGGCCCAAGAGCAGGTGCACGTGTGTTAACCGCGTATGGCCTATTCTCAATCGGGTAAGGACGATTCCTCGTTTCTCGCTCTCGGGGAGCAATTGTTACTTCAACCGAAAACGTTGGATTAAGCATTTAAGCAAAAATAACATAATAAATGCCTTCATTTCTGATCATTGGATTTATTTCTGCAGCTTATCCGCGGCTTTTCTGTTTTTTAAGAATACAAAGCATAAAGATTCTTTCAAATAACTTGTGGTTTGTTGAGGAGCGAGTTTGTTTGATTCTGAAGGAAAGGGTAGCTGTTGTCTCTGTTCAAAAACCTTCAATTTAAATTAACCAAACTAATGAAAGTAGAAAATTTTATTCTTTGAATAATGGCATATTGTTGTAGTATATGGCTTTATACTTTCAGAATTAGCTATCTTTTCTACTAATATTTTTTTCAAAATACCATGGGTAATTAATTTTAGGGTTACTGAAGTGTCAATTTTTAATATAAACAAGAAAACGATTTTTAACCAACCAAAAAGTAAGAAATAAGGGCATCAATATATATATATATATATATATATATATATTAGCAGTGTCAAAAGATACTTGACTAATTTTGTTTTAAAATGGTATTCAATGTATGATTCAAGGGTTTTTTTCTCAACTTTGACAGGAAAAAGTAGTGACTTAATTCATTTTGTCTTACCGAATGCTTACCTCATCGACTACAACAAATCTTATATGACTCTCGTCAACATCGTTGAAAAATGTGCCTATTTTAGTGAGTAGCGGCCGAGACTCGACCTTGGCCCTTCAGCCAAGTTATTTCCGGCTAAGAAACTCAAGACAGTTCGCAAATTACAGTTTCACCCGGACATACAAGTGCTATGTCAACAACATTATATAATTTGAGTTGCAAAATTCTAACTGCTCAAACTGTATCAAAATAATTGACTGTGCAGTATAAATCTGTGGGGGCGTCGGTGGCCGCCACGGCTGACATGGCGCTCATCACTGTAAGGATGGGCTTTTATTCAAAAACACCGACACTCCGAGAGATATGACCTAATGCGAGAACCCTTGGAAAAAAAACTTTCACAAGAGGAAGAACCTCAAACTCTATCCTAAAACGGTTTAAGTCCAACTTTCTATGTCTAAAGTTTAATAGCCCAGACTTACTTTTTTGTTTGAACAACATTGGAAACTGTACCTTCAGGCTATGTTCCCACTTCGTTCGTTTACAATGATTCATAATTAATTAGTAATGACACATATTAAGGCGGAAGGTTAGGCGATTCCGGAACGTGAGCGGCGGCTATACCCTACCCAATACAAATTTCAACTTTAGGTTCAGTAACTAATACTAAAAAAACATTTAAAAAATCAAGATTAAACGGAAAATACAAAACAAATTACTATTTTTATCGACATGAAAGCTGTCATGACAATGGTATTTATTAAAACAAATATTTGCAAATCTTTTGAGAGATAGGGCAAAAGGAGGAGGCTTTAATTGTTTCAGTTGGCAAAATGTACGTAGACAAGTAGAATTTGATTCTAGCACTAGCAGCCAGCCCTGACCAGGGGCACAGGACGAAATGCATTGGCAATAAATAATAATAAAAAACGTATATACAAACATTTAGTATTTACCTGAAATAGATAATAATAGAAAAATTAAATCAATTTAAAATAACGATCGACTGAAGAAATATTTCATACGATTGTGATAAGAGTTTTAGGGCAGATAACGTTCCCATTATCTGGCAACCAAAAGAAGCAGTTATATAAGATAAACAGTTTATTGTACATCGGTTTTTTTGTTGTTTTAAATTTACAAAAACGTTTCAAGAATACAAGGCATCTCTCTCTCTCATTCTCTTTCTCTCTCTCTCTCTCTCTCTCTCTCTCTCTCTCTCTCTCTCTCTCTCTCTCTCTCTCTCTNATATATCTTTCTCCCTCTCCCTCCCTCCATCTTTGTACTTCACTTTCTATCTATCTCTCTCTAAGGTGGATAATCAATTTATATCGTTGAATGTAAGAGTGGTTAGTATTTGACCAAATAAATTCTGCGGCGCTAAATAAAACTGGATTCATTCATTCTCCCCCCTCACACTCAAATTCTCTCTCTCTTTCTCTCTCTCTCTCTCTCTCTCTCTCTCTCTCTCTCTCTCTCTCTCTCTCTCTCTCCGCACATGCTTCAAGAAATATTGTTACGGGACAAAATTGCTAAAAGACATCTGTACGTTTATCTCCACTATAATATTAACAGTGAAAGTGAACATACTTAAATAAGCACTACAATACCGGAACGGACAGCACAACAATCGGCCAAGATCAACAATAACAACAACGAAACTGTTAGAAGACCAGGTTGCTAAAGTATTCTGCTCTTTACCTCTACTATGTTTTTTATAAGAACGTGTAGATAAGTTTTTCATCATATACGTTAATGAGAAAAAAGACACACAATACAGACAAAACAATAACAACGATGACGATGATGACGTCGGCAACGTAGATATTAAGAAACAAGACTGTGAAATGAATCTGCCCTTTTATCTCCACTATCTTTCCGAAGAGAACGTGCATGTACGCTTTTCAGAACATACGTAAATAGGAAGAAAGACACACAACACAGAAACAAAAAAACAACACACACCCAATATCGAACATCATGATCACAACACCACGATCACATTGACGACGAAGACACGATTCCAACAACAACATTAGGAAACAATATTGCCAAAAATCTGTACTTTTATCTAAGCTTGTGCATAGAGGCATGCAGGCTTTGGAACAAGTTTGGATAAGTTATCATTAGTATCATCAACAACAGCACTAAAACCAGGCAAGGTAACTACATCATCAACAATATAAAAATTAATGAACAAGATTTTTGACCTACAATTTTTTCAAAGAAAAGTGCAGATAGGTTTTTCTGAATGTACGGAAAAGAGAAACAATGCACAAACAAACTCTACAACAATTACTACTACAACAACAACAACTACAGCAGCAATACATCAACAAATGTTTTGGGAAACAAGGTTGCTACCAGGTATCTTCACTTTTATATATTTTGCATTGTTTTCAAAGGAAAAAGCAGGTAAGTTTTTCATAATATAAGTAAACGAGAAAAACGACACTGACTACAGATAAAACAACAACTACAGCAGCTAAGACAGACCCACTACAAAAATAACACAAATATGTTTTACGAAACAAGATTGCCCACGAGAATTTTATCTCTATTTTTTTCCTAAAGTATAGTGCATGTACGCTTTTCAGAATCTACGTTAACGAGATTCCTCCACCATCACAACAACCAACACTGATATTAGGAAAAAATATTGCCAAAATAGGCACGTGTAGGTACTGGAAGAAGTTTGTATAACTAGTACCATCAACAGCAGACAGGTCACGACATCAATATCAACAAAAACAACCCAGGCAGGTAATAACATATTTAACAAGAACAACAGCCCGGAAAGGCAACAATATAAAAATTAGTAAACAAATAGATTTTATACCTACAATATTTATCAGAAAAACGTGCAGACGTAAACGTGAAAAAAATACCAACACAACAACAACTTTAGCAACAGAACATCAACACAAGATTTGGAAACAAGATTACCAAAAGGAATCATGAGTTTCAACATTTCAGAAAGATAGTAATTCTGTATCTGAACCTGCACGTTCTAGCAGGTTAAGTTTTTCAGAATATACGTAATCAATAAAAAAGAAACTCAACACAGTCAAAACAACAACTACAACAACGAGGACAGACACAAATAAGAATCTGCACTTTTTATCTCTACAATCTTGTCTATAGAAAAGGTTGTGGACGACGTTGTATAATTGACGATATTTTGTCACTTTGTTCAGTTTATAAATATAATTCTAATAACAATAATGTACGATATAACGCATACATTGAAGTTCCTATATTTTGGAATGTTTTTAACGTTGAATAGTTCAGCTAGGAGTCTTACTTTATGAAACATAATCATGAAACCATTATCAAGAGAGCTGAAGATGTTGTTGGCTTATTTCCAAGGCATTTTTATTTTATAGCTTAAAGATAATAAATAATTTAAACGTATATTTTTTATGTGTTTCTATTAATTTATCATGGAATTCATTGTCCCTGTGTAAAAAAAGTTTTATAATAACGTTTAACTTGTTTCTAAAGACTTTATGGTTTTGTCTTTTTCTTATGTAACACAAAGAATTTGTATTTTTGCTAATTGTGTGCCTAGACACACATTCATTGTCTATCGACGGGAAAATTCACGGAATTGGTCTGGAGCTGGACAAAGCGTTTTTACCGTGCTGATTCTTTCTCGATCGCCCTATTCCATTGACACAGTGCTCTTTGAATGAACCACATGACGAATCACATATGTCGGTGTTGAATTTCTTATTAATAAGAGCATTCCATTCAAATAGGACAGCTAAGAGCCGAATGTAATCTTACGCCGTTTTTCATCACCTGTTACACGATATCACGGACGGATTTCATGCACAAAATAAATGCCATGCGGTAAACAAACTGCTGTCGACGTCCGTTTACCGATAGGAGAGATAGTGGCAATGAGTGAATTATTCATTGATGTAAGCGTCTGCTGATTACGGCTATCGCTTGGGAATTGTTGTCGAGCGACATGTGGGCGGTTAGACGTCATCGATTAAGAGCGAATCAATTGACCCCTGTGCTCAATAATATCACTTTGTTTGTTTTATTGATCAAATATTATCACACAAGCTAGTTAGAATGGAGAATATGTCAACATACATAGTTTGTAGACCATTTCTTAAAACACTAACTAATAAAAACATCAGTAAGGATTTAGTTATCGACCAGTTGTTAATTCTAGATGTAACAGGTGGAATTATTGAAAATTACATAATGAACAATGATTAACAGGGCGCGAGTAGGCATGCCGCCAGATGTAAAGAGGGTTCTCGGACACAACATCGAGTTTAAGGGTGTTGGGAATTTTTTTGTATATAGAAGTTAAGTTATGTGTTTTGTGTTTCTGTGTCTTGTATGAGTGAATGTATTTATTGGTGTGAATGGGGAGTCGCTGATGGCGAATTAGCTTCTCTATCGCCCTTCAGGTTGTGTGTCTGGCTTGGAGTGATGGCGGAAATTTTATAAAAATACCCCATCGACCCAATTTAGATTAGTTTATTATAGGGAACAGGTAGATGGAGGAATATCGAGTACTCCATGTACCAAACAGAATGAGTGCAATCAATGTATGTTGGTGTGAATGGGGAGGGGCTGATGGCGAAGTAGCATCTCGATCAATGTATACAGGTTTGAATGTATTTATTGGTGTGATTGTGACCAAGCTGTCGGATGCCCCTGTATAAAAAAAGAAAAAAAACATTGATTAACGCACACCAAAGCTAGCGCTGGTTGCCATGCAGAGAGAGAAAGGTTGATCGACGTGTCCCACATAACAGAACTTTGTCATCTCTTGGGTCCTTACAGAGAACGTGTAGGCATGCCTTCGAATTTAAGAGTCCTTCGCGGGCACAGTAGCGATTTTTTGGGTTCGGTGTTCCGCTTTTTGGAGAACGTGTTTTTTAATGTAAATAGAACTGTTTTATGCGTTTTAATTGAGAGCGTCTATTTATTAGTGCGAATGTTAAAGGGGGGCACCATTACCCTCCAAACATGTGTGTGTTTAAGATCGATGGCGGTATATTTATAAAAGTATTCCATCGACAATAATTTACATAGATTATTAATATTGTGTAGGTCGAAGGAGGATTATTGAGTACTCCACCGACTAATCAAAATGAGTGCAATGTAGGAATGTATTTATTTTTGTGACTGTATTAGGGAATTTAGTTATTTTTAGGCTTGATTATAGTTTGTATGCATTAGGGGCTTAAATGACCTAGCTGTCAAAAGCCCCTGTTTGAGCCTAACCTAGGGAAGCGAGTGTCTCAGGGCATCTGTTTAAGGGAGATTCTAGCGACCTAGCCACATAATGTGGTAGGTGAACTCTCTGAGGTACAGAGCCTAGGGTCAGCACGTCGGGGAGTGACCACCCTTCAGGGTGAATGTCCAGAATAAATATTGAGCACAGTTTCTTTCCCACTTACTTATTTAAACTTAAAACAGATTGTAAACAATATTGCTTAGCAATATTGAACATAGACTAATATGAACACCATTGCGTGAAAGCTAAATTTACTTAATCTTGTGTATACAATAATCAATGAAAAGTTTTGGTTGGGCTTTTTTAGGCAGTTTTAATTTAAAAAATGTATTCAAAAAAATAAAAAACTGAAATCGGACAATAGTAATACTAATTTTAAACGAAATTTGACCTGCCCCATATTATACACAAAAACCTTTTTTCAAGTTCCCAATATTATTTTTAAATATTTCATACGTTTCGCTTTTTCGTTAATTCTGACTAAATAAAAATGCGAGAGCTGACCTGTAAAACGACCATTAAATTCTAATAAAAGGTGGCACCGAATTGTCGCAGACTCCACCTGCTCTCCACTGTTAAGTCACCACCCTGGCTCTGACTTTTTCATTCATCCGGTTCCTGCCCTACTGGCTGTTAAAAATATGCTTACTCATAGGTATGTTTATTCGTCGAGAATGTCTAGCGTGCCGCATTCCAAGCAAGGAGTCTTGGAATCGCATTATTTCACCTTCAGCTAATGAAAATGGTCATCACAGCACCATCTTACAACAACGAAACCTCTATTGGAAATCAAAAATACGATCAAATAGAAAATAAGTTTTAGGGAAATTTCGTGGTTTTCTCGATTTGTCAGAGTTTCATAATTATTCCAATTAATATTGTCAATTATGACCTCTAAGCAAGTACGTAATGTTCGAACTAATTGTAAGTCATAAATTTGATTTGCAAGATGAACAAATATAACGAGCTAACTTTACAGCTTATATTTTATTTATTTATTTTTTAATTTATGGTAGTAGATTTGACAAGGTCTTTCCGTACTATATTTCAACAATTTCAGAAATGTCTGCTTCTCTCACTCTCTCACTCTCTCTTTCTCTTTAGGTGTAAGAGTGGTCCTAGAGACCAAATCTTGAGTGATTGTTAAATAAAGCGATAATCAATCAATCTCTTTCTCTTTCTCTCTCTCTCTCTCTCTCTCTCTCACTCTCACTCTCTCACACACACACACTCCAAATCACTCTCGCACTCTCTCTCTCTCTCTCTCTCTCTCTCTCTCTCTCTCTCTCCTCTGTCTATATGTTTGTCATCTTAAGTTTACCTATTCTATTATCTACTTATCAGCATATCCCGATCTATTTCTGTTTCATTCCCCTCTCGTCTTTCACACTTTTACCCAGATCGCTCTCCCTCTTCATCGCTCTCTCTCTCTCTCTCTCTCTCTCCTCTGTCTATATGTTTGCCAGCCTAAGTTTATCTATCTCTTTTTCATTCCCCTCTCTCTCCCTCTCGTCTATCACACTTTTTCCCCGATCGCTCTCTCACTCTCTTCATCTCTCTCTTACTCTTTTTCTCATTTCGCGTTAAATGTAAGAGAACTAGTTCGCGACCTAAATTTGGAGATTTTTAAATAAAACGATATTTTTTCATTCATTCGTTCTTTTTCATTCAGACTCAATCGGTTTGTCTCCTCTCTGACACACCAAAACAGCGAGGATAGGCAGACAAGAATGGGCGGAAAATGGCAAGTATATGTTCATCACCCTCAAAAGAAATGTCGCAATTTATCAATTGCACGTTAGACAATTTATAATAAGTCTCTTTCTCTACAAAAATGGATAATTTCTTGATGGATGAAGTGTTTTATGCCGTTTCAGAATATTTTTTTACACATCAGTACAAGATTAAGATTTAATATCAATTAGTATAAATACAACGACACTATGTGTGACTGTAATTTAACCGTGTGGTCGAATTTTGAAAATGTTTAAATGACTTGTGATTACTGAACACAACTGAGTTTCTCGTATTGTTACAGGCATAATTCTTGGCTACACAAATACATAAATATATAAATATTAAGCAATAACTTTGAGAGATCAAATTAGATTAACAAATTCTAGCAGAACGTAATTATTTTATGATCACTAAACCTAATTAGTCTACTATTAAGTTGAGGCATTTTATTTATTTAAGCAAAAATCAACAAAGAAGGACTTTTATGCTTGATTGATTAGGTCCATTAGTTTGATTACTCGAAAGAGGATATAGTAAATTCTAAGAAAAAGTCTCGAGTTAGCAAAGTATAATTGATATGTGTACTCCCTAGAAGTTAAGTCCAACTCGCTAATCTAATATACCCATCGGAAAACATACCAATGACTAAGCCTGACATTAGCAGACATTGAAGCAGGATCCGGATGAATGAAAATGTGAGTAAGAGCCGGATGAGGATTGTAAGCATCAAACGGGCGGAGCCGGCGACAATTCGGAGCCACTCACACACTTTTCTTTCTCACGAAGTTCGTGGGTCCTTTGGCGGAAAGGGCTGAGATGCTTGCCTTGTCTGGAATTGTCGGTACGGTTTCCAAGGTGGGTCCTCTCCCTTTCACTCCTATTGCGGCAAATATCCATGTTTGACGCGACGCCGCGGCGTTGCAACGGGCCGGAAATTGCGGTATATTTATTCAAATCCTAGTTGAAATCTCTTAGGGCAAATAATTGATCCAAGCGGTGACATAGATATTCTAAGGCGGCTTAGAATGGTAACAATTTTTTTGAACCGGCATTCGTCGTTTCGAATCGTCCTGGTCTGCCTATCCGAACTGTTTTGGACTGGCAGACACACTAATTTCACCATACCGTTTTTGGTCGAAATAACAAATTAGTGAAAATAACACATTAGCCCATCAGATGGTAATTGCTGGAACGCGTCTAAAACACGAAATCGGCGAGACCGGGCGCTGTACTTTACGCTTCAGTACTTTAGCACTTTGTCTCAATTTCTTCGTTTTCTTTTTTAGTTAAATTTATTTGCTATTATCGGATTCTCTTCTTTGTCCTTCAATCTTCATTTGGCTACGTTCTTCTTAGTTTCATTCTTGAAGTAATTCATATAAAATATGTATTTAAAAAAAGAAACGAGGGAATTTAGAAAAATACATTAAAACTAGTTAAAGTTCGGATGCGAAACACTTTCACGCCTTTAGATATGAATGTTTGTACTATTAAAAAATAAAATAAAATAAGCATGATTAGCCTCGGTCACAAATTATGTATTTCAATATCTCTTATGTCCATAGCTAGCTGGGAAATCTGCATTCAATTTTTTTTTTCAAAATTCACAAAAGTAGTGATAAATCTATTACCTCAACGGTTCAGTATGCCAATAGAGGTGAACATTGATTCATCAGTCCGTAGGATGTGTGGAAGACATAGTCCCGAAGTCCCTGGACAAGATGAGAGCGGTACGACTTAAAATTCAAAGTCCGGAGTACATCTCTAATGTTATTTTTTGAAAAACCAAAAACCCTGCCAACATTTCGGAGGGAGGAATTCAGATTTTCGCGAGCGTAAAGTGAAATATTCAGCTCCTCTTCGAAATTATGCTGCTGGTTTCTTTTTGTCATAACATTGTCATTTTTTAACCAATTTAAAATCCGATTGACCAGTGTTGTCAGCGTAAAAAATCTTTTAAAATGATATGTCAGGATGTATAAGGCCGTATTTAAAATTTTGAAGTTGAACTGGGCCTGATGTAGCCTGAATAATTTTTCTCCAAAAAAGTTAAAAATTTGAAATTAGACTAAAACATTAAACACGTATTTTTGGTTTTTTTTTATAGCGTCAGTGGTGAAATTCAAGAGAAATTCAGCCGGGCCATCTAAAAAGGACACCCTGTATAGTGCTGTTATCTACCCTCGTTCTAGCTCACCGAACACTCCAGACACCCCTACATTCCCTTGAACAATGGTCTACAAACTCTACACCACAAAATCCAAAACATACCTTAATAATAGCCTTCATTATAACCTCACCCCCTTTCTGTAGAATACGTCAACTGTTACCTTGTGCTGTAATTAGATAAGCGACTGACCTGGAATCCTTATATTCGGAATTTCCAAAACTTAATCGACGATCACATAAAAACTATTGGACGTAAGATTTAATACGACATCCCTCGATGGCAAATACTCAATACTGAAACCCATAATAATATAATAATAATGAAACCTTATTAAAACTTTACAATTATTACAAACGTTTTTTTTAAGCAATGGCTTAGCCGTCTGCTGAGTTTGTTGCAACTTATACAAAAATTAAAAACTATATAAAGGGGCAAAACTAAAAAGTAAAGGTGCTCCTAATTAGAGAATATTCCCAGATTGATTGATTTTTTTAAATTTATTAGACACAAACAGCAAAGCTGAGATTAGCACATTGAGACAAAGAATGAAAGGACGCTTACATATCTGATGACCATTCAAATCTCACTTTCCAGGAGTGTCGGGCGTACTTAATTAAGAGACGAACTTACTGAAACCAAATAGGACCTAAGTTATAGACCTATGCGGTTCAACCAGCCCTTACAAACTCCGCAGAATCAAGACCTTAAAATCCCGAACCCTTAGATCCACCGTCCTATCTTTCCAACCGTTCCATCGTAATGACCTAAATAATTATAAAAGAAGTTGCAGATCCAGCTACAAAAATTCCACATCAATCCTCACGTGCAACAACTTTCCTTCCGATCTCTTCCTAATAATCTTCCTCGATGTCTAATAGGACAGTGGCCCAGTGACCTGTTCTCAGATAGTGCGGGTGATTACAATTAATCAATGATTTACGAATGCTATCGCTGGATAAGTTCTTCACTCGATTTATAGTTATGTGATCTATGTAACTTATTGCTATCTATGTAACAATCTTTTTCAAAGTAATTAATCAAGTAATTAATAACATTAATAACCTCACCAAGAAATCGCAGTTATTTTGTCCGTTCAAAATGACCCTAACAGTATTTATAGCTATACCAATCGATCATTCCAAAAAAGGATAAAAAAGAGTTGTAATCCTGTTTGCAGTCAAATGACGATTCTTGTACGTAAGAGATAAGTCGAATATCCGCTTTTTTTCCCCATTTGATCTATGACGGAGGTGACATATCGATCGCAAATATTTTATTCATATTAGTTCACAGGTTGGTTGTCAAAACATTGAGTCATTACCGATTACTCAACACAGGGTGTCTTGTCTTCGTCCTACCCGCTTTTTACGTAAACGGATGCAGGCGGAATTGTAACCCGCAAAAGAACAAAAATATCCTGCAGAATTGTGTGGTTTTTAGTGACTGTTAATTAATGATTATTTTGAGATCGTGAGATGCTGTCTGGTGTGACGTAAGTTTTAGAAAAACATTTTCTTTATCGTGCCAACGTTTCGATCTTTATTGAGATCATCATCAGGGTCTGGGATTTATAAACATTGTTTAAATTATACAAATACATGTAGGATGCGAAAAAAGTGAATTTATGCAATGCTAGAAATTTTAGACTCAATCAAAGTGTTTATATCACAGGCCCTGAAGATGATCATAATAAAGATCGAAACGTTGGCACGATAAAGAAAACATACGTCCTACGTCCTAAAACCTACGTCACACCAGACCGCACCTCACGATCTCCAAATAATCCATCATGATGTCGAGCCAGAATTTCTGCGTGGAACTTAAATGCTTGAGATGAAAGAGCGATCAGTATGAAATAATTGTATGTAATAAATTGTATTTTTTTTTATTTTATTTTTATTTTTACTTTTTTGAAATGAAATCGTGACAAATGTGTTTAAAAACTGAGAATGAAAGCTTAAGCTCACAAGTATAAATTTGTTTCCCTTTTTATATTGTATTTCTGAAATTTTCCTTCTTGTATATTTATACGTTTTCAATACGAAGAATATCTTATTCAGCATACATAGTGAAATAAACAGATAAACTTTACCATTAGGTACTTCACATGTAGCATTAATAAATCTATAACATTAGCATATTAGGACTATGTCCGACCATAAGTACATCTGGACACACGCATACGTTTAGAGTTTGTTATGTTTAAAAATACATATAGTATTAATTTATGAAATAAGGCTTAAATAACAAGACAAACAGATCTATAAGTTGGTAAATTGGCAAAAAGAGGCAGGTGTTTTCACGTCAGTTTTACAAGAAAGGTGTAATGAGTTCGTGGAAATAGATTTTATCTGACCTGTACAATTGTAGGACATTTCCTGGGCCTTTATCTAATTTTGTAACAAATCATCAACAGATGGTTTCTATTGTTCACACACGGGAAACTCTAGGAAACCTTATGTTCAAGCAAAGGTGTTTCTGTGCTAAAAATACACTCAAAGACAAAAACCCATACACTCATATTTTATTAATTATTTAAAACTATATGTATTTTTATTGTAATATTAATTACAACATACGGAAAATCATTTAGTGATTGATTGAAATTTAACTGACTATTATCTAGTTTTGCTCTAAATAAGGCGTATTATGCCTCGCGGAAGCTTCGTCTCCTAGGCATCGAATAAACAAGAGACCGGTTTTTTCTTGGTGAACTGAATCTACAGAACGATGTCTAACCCATCTCTTTATCATGTCCCATAAATATTATTCTATGCTATCTAAGTCAGGAGAACGCACTGGGATTCATTGTGGTAGTCCCTACAACCTCCAAATAATGGGCGACAACTCGAGCTACATGCGGTTGAGCATTGTTATACATTAACACGAAGTTGTCCCCAAATGGAGCGAATGGGACCATGGCTTCGAGAAGAAATTCCTCAACGTACCTTAGCGCAGTCAAAGATCCATTCGGTATGATAATCAGTTCGTTACAGGACGTTGATTCCACCCCATACGATAACTGACTGTCTTTAAAAAGGCTGTGACTCAAGCATGACAGTGAAGCGATCTCCACGACTTCTTCACACTCGGTCCCGGTCATCTGATTGTCACAAACCAAGCCGACACTCATCTGATTTGCGAATAGTCGCTTTCCTACTCTTCAGTAGTAGAGAACCTGATGCGACTAGAGAGGCTATTCTCACGTAGCCTTTGGTTGATTGCTTTAGAGGGAACATTAAGGACCGTTTGGAGTTGACTACCTAGCTAGGAAGCCGTGAAATGACGGTTGCGTAGTTCGGTAAGAACAATAAAACTATCGTCCTTAGCCGTCGTACATCGCGGTCGACCACTACCTTCCATCGAGACTTAAGAAATATATTAATCTTTATTCCTAATTATTACAGAAAATAAACAAATGAATTCGAGTATCCGGCTTTTTTTGTCCATGAGTGTATTTTTATTGGTGTAATTTCTTCTATTTTATAAGTGCAATTTGTAAAGAGTTGAATCAATCTCCAAACAACCTAACATAATATAGTAAAATATCGAAACACCGTAATTAGACATGCAATTTTTAGTTAGTCTTATATACATAAATTAGATTTACAAGGATACGAATATACGTGGGCTGTAATTTTAAATTAATAATTTGTTTGTCTTAGCTATTATACTTACGTTTGTTTTATGCACTGCCGAATTGTTCCAACTCGCCTGAAAAAAAAAGATTAATTTATTATGTGATATAAGGATATAATAATTCATAGTTGTTTATGCATGCAGAGTTATCAATTCAGAATTGTTATTGTATAATACAGGAACGAAGTTCAAAGTTAATGTACAATTGTAGGATGGGCATTTTTTTTATTGCTGAAAAAAACTACCTACTAAACAACGCAAACCGCAAATTTACCTCTTTACGAATTCTTTTCTAAAATTTTTAAATTTTTCACAAACCGTATGTATAATGAAATAATTTCGTTTAGGAATACAGGTCTTGAGAGGGGTGGACTTTTCAGAGGTAGAAGCAAGCCAGCGGCTTTTTGTAGGAAAACTATTTTTACAATAGTTGACAAAAATTTGCAGTGATCCGGATTTCGAGAGGTAATTGTTCATAAGACTATGCAAGTGCGTGTGACAGCAGGCAAACAACCACTGTTGGACTGTTAAAATCTTTGCTTATTCTATAATACTTCGATAATTCAAATTTTTTTTACAAAGCTTATAAAAAATTGTAAACGCTTTAATTACTTGTTTTATTTGGTTAATTTTATATATACTGCACTGTATACGTCTGTATACGTATAAAATATGTCAAATTCGTTCGACAACTGCGTCAAACCGGTAGACGAAAACGACCAGCTTTGTGCACCAGCCAGAGCTTTAAAAATTCGAGGATCGGGCGTTTTAATTCGAAAAACAACGACCTACTATTTACGACGGAGGAATTCCTAATGAGGAGGGAGGCACCAGGCTGGCTGCCGGTCCAAACATGATTAATGCCCTTCGGCACTACTATTTTATCAATGCCTCCCATTCAGTTCTAGATTCCTCGGCTCTTGGACCTTTCGGGAAAAAGCCTGCCGTAATTCGACGGGATGTCTTTAATCAAGTTATTGACGCAGCCGGTAAATGATTTATTTGAATTGTTTCTTTCTATTCGGTAAATTATACGCAGTTCTACTTAACTACTTACACCCTTAAGCACTGATATGTACACATAGTAAATCGTTCAGTTTGATTGAGATATTGAGATGGTCATAAAATAGGTTTTCTGCTTTATTGTTGAATTAATTCATGGCATTCTGTCTTTTATTCATAATTTACTGTCTTCCTACATCGTTCAACACAACTGTCAACCTGTTGATCAAATTCCTACATAAACTAAAAGTACAGAACAGTAAAGTAGCTCTTACAAAGTGCAGCATAAAATAACCCTCCATTCTTAATCAATCGATCAACATAACATTATCTTATAATTTCGGCACTGAAGACCCCTTTGAAGAGGTAGCAATGCTGGTAAAGTAAGCAGTGGTCATCTGGGTCGCTGGATGTGGGTCCCACCTAAAAGAAGTGTCATGGCACGGCTCGTTATGGGGGAGCAAGTGGGACTGCCATCCAACGTACCGTGCTTGGGCTCTTGTGATCGTTTTTTGAAACTCTCTCTCCCTCGCTAAATAAATAAATAAACAGAAATCAGACAGATATAAGCCGTGTCCCACTAGGGAATATTCTTGATCCCATCCTTTATACCATCTGTACTGCTGACCTACCTGCACATTCATGCCAATAGAAATAAATCGTTTAAAAATTTAGGATTCGTACTCAGGCAAACTGTTGACTTTAAGAACCATTTTGCAATAAAATTACCCTATCAATCTCTGGTGCGCAGTCACCTAGAGTATTTCAGTGTTGTTTGGTCGCCGGGTTCTTTAGATGGGTCTTACATGATAGAAAGGGTACAGAGAAAGGCCACGAAATACCTCTTTTACAAGATACGCAATCACAGGAACTACCATAATTACTCCTATGAAGCCAGACTTGCTCTAGTAGGCCTGGATTCTCTGGTGGATAGAAGAGTTTTGGCTTCCGTTATGTTTCTGTGGAAAATCCTAAATAATTTTATTGACTCCCCGGAGATATTATCTTGTATTGGCTTTAGGGTTCCCCAGAGTCAACTACGGACCCATGAATTGTTTAGTACTTCACGGCACAGGACCAAATATGGCTTATAGTATTTAATCCCCACAGCTCTGCAGTACTTAAATAAATTCACTATCAGTGCGGACCCCTTCTCCTCGTCCCTTCAGATCTTTAAAAAAAATATTGAACGAGCTATAAAATGTAATTGAGGGTTTATTTATTACTTTTGTTGTGCTATTTATTAATATATTTATAATATTGATTTTTTGTTAAAAATGTTGGCGCTTCTTTGCTGTTATTTTGATTTTTATATACTTTTTTAGTAGTTTATATTGTAATGATTGTTTTGTTGTGTAGCTTGACTGCCCTATGCTTGGGTACCTGACCTATTTGGGCTGTAAATAAGTAAAATAAAATGAAATAAAAAAACAAAATAAACAACCCAATACCATCATCACTACCTACGCGGCCGATACCGCAATTTTGTCCTCTAACTCAAATCCTTTACAAGCTACCTCCAACATCAAGAACACCTCGAGCTAATCGAAGACTGGTGCGCAAAAAGTGGAGAACAAGAGTAAATTAAGACAAATGGCACAGTGTACGTTACATTGAGAAAATAGACTTGATATCCATTGTACATCAACAACAAAGTGATACCGACTTTCATTCAAGTCAAATACTTAATACTATACCTAGACAGCAGAATGCCGTGGAATCCCCACATCAGTCTTAAGGGACAACAACTTAACAACAGAAGATTTGGAAAACTACAAAGACCTGTAGGACTGAAATCTGTATTGACGGTCAAACTAAATTAACCTTATACAAGACTACTGCGACCATTTAGAACATACGGAGTGAAACTGTGGGGTTCTGCCAAGGCATCCAACAACCAGCGTATCCAATCTTTTCTATCAAAAGTTTTCAGACAAATGTTCAAAGCTCCTTTCTACATCACTAACCTCACTATCCACAACGATCTCAACATTTATTTTGTCACCGAACTAACCTGTTCTCAATTCCCAAAGTTAACATTAACCTCTTCATCCTAAGCCTAATGCTCGAGCCCTCTCTATCCCCACAGATTTCCATCCTGAGAACCCGCCATGTCGGCTTAATCGACGATGGGCACGGGACCTCTTTGCCCCTTAATCCCCCACACTGACTGCTGAGTACCAGCATTGACTCGTTTCTCATGGTATGTGTCCTCTGGGTGCAGCGCTGGCATTAGTGTTTGGCCAGATGTGGTACAAATGAAATAATTTAGAAAACGTTTCTGTAGAGCTTGATTTAACTTTTATAAACCAATAATTGTATAATATAAGTATTATCACACTAAGATAGACCGACAGTAAAGATGGAAAGGTCGAAAAGCTTCTGACAGTCAAAACCAACTGGTTGATCGATTTTAAACAATAAATATTGTTGTTCAACGGACTGATCGGCCAAATTTAATTTATCTTAGTTTTCACGAGTTTTCTAATGGTTAAGAAAAAATTATTGACATAATTTCGTAATGAATTGCTCGATGAAAGACTTAACTAGTTTATCAATTGTTCTTTCCACAAGTCCGACATTAATTACAGGATTATTCAATGTCAAATAATTTTTTTTTCAATAAGGATTTGCAGGAAGAAAAAAGAAAGACGACCGGAATTGAGTTATCGTTTTACCACCCATAGCAGGCACGAGACCGGTTCTGTAATGACAGTGCCGGTATCTCTGCCCCTTGATCAAAATCGTTTGAAACAATTGTGAAATATCAAACCGTCCATCGTTAGCAGGAAATGTACCGAATTCTGACGGAGTCGGGGCTGTGTGAACTCTTAGACTTAAGCCGAAAGCTTTCCCAAGGGGGCCTGCACCGGATCGTGATTCGAAATCGAATTGTCGGGTGACTCAGACCGTAGAATCTATCCGTGACTCGGAAATAGTTCAAGGCACACTTAGGAACTTTGTACTAGGTGTTTTTTATGATTTTTTAAATGGACGGATCAAAGGTTAACCAAATCCGTCTCCATTGTTCAAATGTGCCGCTCTTTGAGTCTGCAACATGTGGAGTCTCAGTACATATGAGATAGGTCAGCTTGTTATTTCTACGCATCATTTTTATAAACAATTTGCGTTAAAATAGTTTTAATTTACTAATAGCAGTATTTTACTCTATAGAATACGTAAAAAAGTTGAACTCAAGTTGGCCCGACCACCAATATTTATTGAATTATTGAATATCTATAATCCTGATCTACCTATTCACGCGAATTTACCTATCAGACGTGTTTCACTACGTCCATTTTCTGTGTTGGTCTGATAAATAAGTAAATGAGTATAGAACATGACATCACAGTAATTAGATTAATATATGTCTGTCTATATATTATATTATATTTATATAAGATAATTCAACTGTAACTACATCATATTTACCATATCTGACCTGAATTGAATTTTTGATTTCATTACGTCTAAAACTCAAAACATAGACTAACTGTTAGTTTGTTATGATATACATTTGTCGTTAAACTTAAATATTCCTTCAACTCCTAAAGATCTCAGTTTTTACTGTCCTGCTCTTGGTCTATCGACAACTTGGTCCTGTTAACCCTTACCATATAATTTTATCCTTAAATACTAATATTTACCTATATAGTGCACATATATTAAACTAATTATGCCGATTTAATGTTCTAAATTCGCTTATCCACACTCTTACGCTTTATATTCACGCTAATTAATACATTCACAAAAGGTTACCCAACTAATCTACGGACGTCCCCTTATCAATAGGTATTTAGAAGAGACTGCGTAGGTTCTGCCAAGGTGAGGAGGAAACCTCCGTACATATTATACGCTACTGTGAAGTAAAAGCGGGCGAAGAAAAGACGAAACCAGTAAATATAACTATCAAAATTATGAAGCTAGTAAAAACCTATTTTTGTGATAAGGATGTTGTACAAGAAAACTCTTGAAATAATAAAATGTCTAACGACGTATATAAACCAACCCTATGTGGAGGAGCACAAGTCCACCTTACAGGACCTATGATAGAAAAAAGTCGATAAACTCAA